AATAATAATAATAATAATAATATTAATAATATTATCATTGTTATTATTATTATTTCAGTAATAATAATATTATTATTATCATTTCAGTAATATTATTATTATTATTATTATTATTGTTATTATTATTGTTGTTATTATATCTCACGATATGAACGTGTTAGGATTGTGCGTTTACGTGCATCATAACCCACAACCAGTGGTACCGTGTCTTTGAAATGACCTGCAAATGGCCTGGTGCTGTACTTTTCAGGATTTGACGCGCAGAGTAGTGACCCTCATGCGTCAGACGTTTTTGTACCACCCTCAAACTTCTCAGTCAACCTTACTGGACTTGGAGGCGAACCTGGGGAACTGGGGGCTAAACTGGACAGTCTGGCCGTGCTAACAGACTACAGTTCAAAACATCGTAGGACTCTGACTTTCGATGATGCACTACAGCTGTCAGCGGTTCTCTCCCAGACGGGGAACACGAGATCTCAGATAAGTCAAAGCGACTGGAACCGAGTTATCAGCGCTGACAAAGACGCACCAGGGTGGCTGCAAATCTCTTCACAGCGAGCATGTGCGATATATGTTAGTAACCTGCCGCTGAGCGTGACTGCGGAGAAATTGGAGGGGCAGCTGGATAATGAGGCGGAGTGTAACGTCACGGAAGTCTATTTGCTTAAGGTTTGAACTTCTATTCGCTTAGCAGGCTGCTATTCCTTCGTTTCCCTATAAGGTGTAGTTTTTATCAAAGAGGGGGCACTTAAGGCAGAACAAAAAAAAAAAACACTTTAAGTGAGAATTGTTTCCTTTACCTCAGAAGAGTCGAAGTTTGTGAAGCTTTACTTTGAATTCAAGTTGGGTTTTTCGTTCGGCAGGTTTGTCCGTCCTTCTAGTTGTCAATCAGTGAGTCAATCGGTGAGTCTGGGAGTCAATGACTTAGTCAGTCAGTTGTCAGTCAGTCGGTCAGTCAGTTACTTGACAATCAGTGATGTAGTAAGTCAGTCCGTCAGTCGATAAGACTAACCGATTTAAGATGAAAGCCTCTTTGAGTACCCAGAAGTAGGGGCTTAAAAAGATGTTTTGTAATTGTAATGGGAGTCTTCTTCTACCTCTCCAACTTGTGTATCTTTTCATTTGAAACAGGATCAGATTCTCAGGAAGCCAAATGGCTTAGCCTGGGTGTTATTTGCAGACGCTTGGTCTGTTCAAAGGGCAGTGGAATACTACAACTCTGGCCAGGCTTTCATGTACGGAACAACATTTGTTATCGCCCCTGTTAATGTTGATGTAATTGCTGATACTGACACAGAAGAAAATGCGCTGGCTAAAGCAAGGTTAGTACTTTTGATTATGTTTTAAAGAATGAAAGCAACCCAATTATATCTTGAATAACAGGAGTGAGTTTAAAAAGAAACTGGTGCTGCGTCGATGGGGTGTATAGAACAAGGTAATTTTGGTTTTATCAACTGAGTTGATAATGTAAATTTGCCACCGTAAAGAGTTTCAAAGCTGACTTTTCGAGCGTTAGCCCTTCTCAGAGCGAAGGAAGGAATTGTGGGTTGTGTGTGTGTGTGTGTTTTAGGTAGAAATGAAGCTACGTTACCATGTTCCCGCCAATAGGGTTGCTTCATTTTCTGCATAAACTATACATACTCCACATAAAGTATACAAAAGCGGCACACAGACAAGGTTTGCTTAACTGAGCACGCGTATTAACCGATGGAGTGCGTTGTGAGTGCATTGTATGTCAATTTTTTTTCATAAGATTCAATCTTATGACGCTATTTAGCGCTACTTGTGTCGCTTGATAATACATTACAATGCAAGTCAAAGAAATTTCTTTTCGATGAGGCAGCTTTTATTTTATGATATTATTTACAGACAAGAGATGAATCAACGGGCTGAAGATCGCAAAGCAGATCAAACTGCTCGTGGGCAGCTCGTTCAGTCAAATTATAGCGAAAGTCTTGCCCGCCATGAGTATGCAGCCCAGCACCCCGCGTACGCTGATGGCCGAGTGTGGTGACGAACTAGTGAAGACAAGAATCTTCTGCTGTAGTTGTATTTAAAGCCATTTTGGAGGGTTCAAACCTTTCATGACTTCTTTTAAACATGTTATTCGATGCTCGATTTATTATACGTTTTCCGCGGCATGGTTTAGCAACTACTCCTTGAGTTGTACCTTAAAATATTTGATGAGCTATCTATGGTCTCTCTTCGGTTCTTTCTAATGGACACAATGAAAAAGGCTTGTGGAGGTTGGCAGCCCTCTTTTACGACGCATTCGTTTAAAAAAAGTTATTATAGTGTACATTTTTCGCAACGATATTTCTACGTCCATTTTGTATTTCTGTAAGAGTTCCATAAGGAAGATTCACTGAATGAGCATTAAAAACGCCATGTAAATTAGTGCAACGACGACTTCTTGTGATCGATTTTCACGAGTGTTTGTAATATTGTGGTCGTTAGTCTGCAAAGAGAGTAATTGTGTAGCTGCCATGTCTTACTTCCATGTTGGTTCGACATTTTACAAAGAGTTTGAAAAAATCTTTATTTTCGTATACTATTTATCTTGTTTGTTAATGTTGGATAAAGATTATAATTTTTTTTTTAAATCAAAAGTTTGTCTTAATTTAAGGACTACAGAATATTTATTTCTAAAATTTAATCGTCCGTTTACAAATAAAAATGGGTAAAATTGTTGATTAGGAATTTTCATTAGTTTGCGGCTTGTCCCACTTTAGACAGAAATGTCTTCTGTTGTATTCGCTCAACTGAAAGCAGGAGAAAATATTCTTTTGTTGAAAGTTCAATAAAACTTCTTGAACATTAACGTTAACATTATTCGGAATAGTCAAGAATTGTGAATCAAGATTTTCATGTAAAAAGTGAAAATGTACCCCACACACAAGTAACCAGATTAACCAGTTTCGCGAATGATTCTGTTGTATCAAGAAGAAAACTGTATCCGTGGTTCCTGATTGTGTTGATTCCTCGCACCTCAACCTTCGAGATAAAGCAATGAAATACGAGTGAACTTTTGCCTATTTGGCTCTTGCGCGACCTCAGTGGTCTTCTACCAGGCTCGGCAATTAGCTTCTGTATGGGGAAGAAGTCCATTTATCGTGACAAAGCAAAGAAGTGACTTACGAGAGCCGCAAAAATGAATCGGGGGTTTTCTCGTTAGTTTGCAAGATGATTAAAAAAAAAAAAGGATAATGCATAGGAAGCTCAGATCGGGCTTGGAAAATAGACAAAACAAATTTTAACAAGATACTTTAAAAGTCTGCCAGCTGTTCAAACAAGGGGGACATTGAGAGCTTGCTGCTACCTTTTATTCGATGTTTTCAGCTCTCCCATAAGCACTCTTTTGGCCTTGTGTTTCTTTTGAGTTCTGAAATTGAAGTTCAAATTAGCTTAAGAATCATCCATCCGCCCTACACTCGCAACGGAGAGCAGGGAAAAATCCGTGGTTAATATTGACAAGCTGAAATAATATGTGCAAACACAATAACTTTATCATCAAAGAACTGTTCGACCATTCAAACGTAAAATAAATAAATAAAAGGAAGAACACTTTTGGGTCTAAGTTATTACTGAGTACCATTAAATTACAATGAACACGGAGATGCTTGCCTGAGTAAACAGATTGTAACAGTCACTCTAATTTGTTTGTGCTCAAAGATTATTTAAAGCAAGAAGGGAGAATTCCCAGTTTGATCTAGGTAATCAACAAGTTAAACACGGAATCTTATTTGTTCTTGCAGTTGCTCTGCTTCAGTGGGGTATCAAAGATATCAATAGTACATCAATCTAGCTCCCGGATGTTGGCAAATGGGGACTACAGCTCACGAAATCGGTATGGGAGTTTGGGAAGCGGTAAAGGGGGGTGGGGGCACGGGTGAAAACTGTTATATTATTCGTTAAAATATGCTCAC